AAAATGGAGTTGGGGAAAAAAAATTCCCACTTGATAAAAATAATTTCTTCAAACAATCTTTAAATATTCGTAAAATATTCTTTAAATATTCTTTAAATATTCTTCAAATATTCTTTAAATATTCTTCAAATATATTTTCAATATTCATTCATAATTTTTCAAAATAACCTCAATTTTAATTATTTTTATTTATTATCTAAATAAAGATATTTTCTTACTATAGACTAAATAATTAAAAATAGAAATAAAAAATATAATAAATAAAATAAATTGTTATCAAGTTGAAGTTATTTCAAATCCAAAACGAATATTTAAATAAGTAAAAATAAAAAATGAATTTTATTAAAAAAATAAATGCGACTTGATGGAATATTTTTCTTTCCGTATATGTCACTTTTTCCCCCTAGAATTTTCTCTTTACGTGACAATTTATCACTTAATCCAATTATAAAAATCATTTTTAAAATATTTTTCTTTGCTTTCATTTTTTAAAAAGAATGGATTGATCTTCTTCATTTTTCTATCTTCTACTTTCTTATCATCATTTTTCTTTTATTTGCTCTCCTCTCTTGATTAAATCAACTTCAATTTCGCCTCTCTTTTTCTTTCATTCAGTTCGCGGATATCTTGAAGACGACGAAAGGTGAAAAGTACCATTTGGCTTTAACTTAAATCCTCACGACTGTGAGAATAAAGTTGACGCAAATGTTTTTAGCTGTAATAAAGCTCACGACGTAAAACGGTCCAGTTTCAAGATGCCCTTCTACTTTTCCGCTAATTTACTCTTTCTCCTGTTTTCCCAATGAGGGCAATGAAGTCGAAGCTTCTTGTTTCTTTTTCTTTTTCTATTTTTCGGCTCGAATTTTTTGTATGCTTAACGTTTTTTTGTTCTTTTTTAAATTTATTTCTCTTTATTTTGAAATTTTTTCGAGATTTCTTTTAGTTTTCAGTTAAAAATAATAAAAATATTTTTATTTAATTACTTTAAAAAAAAAATTTTTTTTTTCTTTGTTCGTTTTTATTTTTTGTCTCTTGCAGTTTATACTTATTTTTTTAAACTAATCAGATTTTTGTCTATATATTTATTTTCTGTAAAATAAATTTTTATTTTAGTTGGTAAAAAAAATTGTTGTTCTTGAAAAATAGAAAAATTAAGTTAGTTTTATAGTTAAATTAAATTTTATTTAGTTTTATATTTTAATCAAATTTAATTTAGTTTTAAATATAAGTTTAATTTAATTTACTTTAATTTATTTTATTTTTTATGTTATTTTTATTTATTTTATTTTTTATGTTATTTTAATTTATTTTAATTTAATTTAATTTAATTTGACTAAATTTAATTTAAGTTTCAGTTAAAAATTTTATTTTTTCCTTTTTCATCTCAAAAGGCGTTTTTCTCTTTATTTTATCGTTCACCACTTGCGACTATTGAAGGTGTTTCAAGACTCGGGCTATATTTTCCTCTTTTTCTTTATCCTCGGTGATCTTTTACGCAACAACCGAGCCATTGCCTGGATAGGTTTGCCCTTCTTGACAAGCCCTATAGTCGGAAAGTTTACGGCGTGCCTGCAACGTCGAGTTTAACCGCTATTTTTCCCATGATAAATGAAATTGTTCCGCGACTTGTTCTCTCTCTCTCTCACTCACTCTTCACTCTTCACTCTTCGTTTCTTAACTTTACGCAAAACTTATAATATGCACTCTCACTACATTGTACCACGAATCATGCAGATGTTCACCGAAAAATTGTTTTTCAAAAATAATATATTCTTTTCTAAATTTTGTTTTTTGAAACTTTTTTTTTTATAAACATTCATTAAATGTTGATTATATAAACGTATTAACTGCGTAAATATTAAATATAAGCTGGAAAAGTTGAAAAAAATAAAAATATTGAACTAAAAATGTTAAATATAGACTAAAAATATTAAATATAAACTAAAAATATTAAATATAAACTATAACTATTAAATATAAACTAAAAATGTTAAATATTCAAATTTAGACAGTATAAATATATTAAAAATCACTATAAAAAATAAAAGATACGAATAAATTAAATATGCCACAGAAAATTAATTTATGTGTTTAAAATGAAAATATTAAAATAAGACAATAAAATTAAGTGCATATTGTATTTAACTGTTGAATATAATTCGAATAAATAACACCCAAAGATAAGATATCACAAATAAATATTGACTTTCCAGTTTATTTAAATTAAACAAATATTAATAATCGTCACTATTAATAATTAATATATAATAATAATAATAATAATAGGTAATTGAAACTCGATGATAAAATTATAAAATTAAGTAAAGTTGGTAGAAATTATTTAATATATTTATAAGTTAATTATTTTTAAAGGTTGAGTAAGTAAACGAGTCAAATGAAAGTTAATAATATTAGTTAAAAATTGTAATTAATAATTGATAATAATAGAGTTAATAACAATTTAAATAATAATAATAATAATAGAAAAATTCGCCTGACTCATGATTTACTTCTACTACTGAGACGAAAATATAGTAATAGCAATAATTATATAAAAAAGTCTGACTAATAATTTATCTCTACTACTGGAAAATTATATAATAATAGCAAAAATAATAATAATAGAAAAAATCGTCTGACCAATAATTTACTTCTACTACTGAGCGAAATAATATAATAATAGAAAAAATTCTAACTATTAATTTACCTCTACTACTGAAAAATTATATAATAATAATATAATAATATCGAAAATAATAATAATAATGGAAATATGTGTCTGACTAATAATTTACTTCTACTACTGACACGAAAATATAGTAATAGTAATAATAGTAAAAAAAGTCTGACTAATAATTTACCTCTACTACTGAAAAATTATATAATAATTAATAATAATATAATAATAGAAACATTCGTCTGACCAATAATTTACTTCTACTACTAAGACGAAAATATAGTAATAGTAATAATAGTAAATAAGTCTGACTAATAATTTACCTCTACTACTAAAAAATAATATAACAATAATATTAAGAATAATAGTAATAGAAAAATTTGTCTGACTATTAATTTACTTCTACTACTGAGACGAAAATACAGTAATAGTAATAATAATTAAAGTAATAACAATAATAATAATAATAATAATAATAATAATAATAATAATAATACAAATAATAATAAAAATAATCACCGTTAAAATTCTTTTTCGACGAAAATTCAGTAACGATAATGGAAAAAATTGGTTATTCGAAGATTTTTGAGGAGTTTTTTTTTCTTTTGTGAAAGAAAGTAAGAGGGAGATAAGGGACAAGAGACGTATAAGGAAAACTCGTTAAATTGTGATAACTCTATCTACATGTAAATCTAATCGGGTAGACAAGCCACGACGATATCAAACCCCCGTTTAACATTGTCGATTCCCAAACTCCCTATAAGTTGGTGACTTAGCCATAGTCGGAGGCTTACCATAACGGTTTCGCATACTAAGTTAACACCTTCACCTTAAAGTGAGAGAGCGAAAGACAGAGATTTAGAGAGTCAATTCACAATCATCTCTTGTTCAATTTCGAACGATACTTTTTTCAAAATAAGTATATTTTATCTGAATTGGTAAATTCTCCAAAAAACGTAAAATCCAAACGAAAAATGGGGAATGAAAGTAAAACTTTTTTTCGGAAGTAATTAATCGAAATTGTATTTTATTTACACTGTTTTATATTTACATTACTTTGCGTTTACATTGTTCCATAGTTACAATATTTTGTATTTCCACTGTTTTATATTACCATTATTTTTTATTTACACTCTTTTAAATACACATTATATTTTGTGTTTATAATATATTATTGTCTGACAAAAACCATTTTTTACTACTTAAATCGTAATGAAAAAAATGTCTCATTACTTTCAATTTTACGTCTGACTAAAGGCAACTTTTCTACTTATTTCAAAACTATTTGAATTCTTCTCTATTCTTATTTCCCGTCTGACTAAAGTCAACTTCTTCTACTCGGGAAATAATTACAAAAACTGTTCTTCAATTTTAATGTTATACGTCTGACTAAGACAGATGTTTACTACTTATTTTCAAATTATTAGAATTCTTTTCTATTCTTTTTGGTCTGTCTGACTGAAATCAACTCCTTCTACTCGGAAAATAATTATAAAAACTCTATTTTTTCAATTTTATTGTTACGTCTGACTAAAATTAAACTTTACTCCTTGTATTTAAATTATTAGAATTACTACTAGAATTTTTATCTTTTTTCAAAAAAAAGGTCCAAAAATGTGAAATTTGCTATTTATGACAAAATTTCAAGGCTAAAAAGCATTTCATTTTATCTTTTTTCAAAAAAAAGGTCCAAAAATGTGAAATTTGCTATTTATGACAAAATTTTAAGGATAAAAAGCATTTCATTTTATCTTTTTTCAAAAAAAGGTCCAAAAATGAGAAATTTGCTATTTATGACAAAATTTCAAGGCTAAAAAGCGTTTCTTTTGTTCTGTCTGACTAAAGGCAACTTCTTCTACTAGGAAAATAATTACAAAAACAGTTCTTTAATTTTAATACAATGTCTGACTGAAACCAACCTTTACTACTTATTTTGAACTTATTTTTGATTTCTTCTCTAATCTTATTGTTATGTCTGACTTTGAACGACTTTTACTACTTATTCTAAAATTATGTCATATTTCTGTATAAATATATTGTATTCGAATATAATTATATAATTTTAAGCAAAACTGATATGTAAATTTTGTCTATATAATTTATTTAATCACAATAAAATGTCATTTTTTAATCACATTATTTTTTCGATTCAAATTTTTTTACTTTTCTAGAAATTTTTAGTTTTTTAGAAAAATAAGAGAATTTTAAAAAAGAAAAATTTAATATAATTTTTTTGTGCTTTATTATTACTTACTTGCAATAAATAAAAATTGGAGAAAAATTGTTCGATATTTCATTTTGAAATAATTTTTTTTTGTTACAGTTCCAATTACACCGGTAACTGGAGTTGCTGGCGGGAAAGTTCAACTTCCGTGCGATATTCATTCGTCGCGTAATGACCCCGTTGTCATGGTTCTCTGGTACAAAGAAGGAAGCAATGAACCAATTTACAGGTAAACCATTATTTACCATTTATCAAATAATTTTCGATTTAAAGAAAAAGTTACAAATTTTTTTTCCTTCTAAAAAGTGAAAGAATTTTTATCTTCTTTTTCCTTTTTGTTTATTCTAATTTATGACATTTAAATATTTTTTTTTCGTTTTTGTTACAAATTTTTTTTCCTTCTAAAAAGTGAAAGAATTTTTATCTTCTTTTTCCTTTTTGTTTTCTAATTTATGACAATTTAAATATTTTTTTTCTCGTTTTTGTGACATTTAAATATTTTAAATTTCCACTTACAGAAAATGAAATCATTCACAAAAAAAAAATAATTTGTAGCCACAAGGCTACAAATTATTTTTTTTTTGTGAATGATTTCATTTTCTTTTTGCGACAAACCTCAAAAAAAGCAAAAAAAAAAAAAAGAAATTAATTCTCGAAAATTGAGAATATTTTTAAGACCAATGAAAATCCGTCGCACGGAATTCCGTTTTCGCCTGGAGGAACTTGAACCAGCAGCGATGGCCGCCGTTTCGCTTCCGCGATCCGTGAAATTTTCATATAGAATGGCGGGCTGCCATTGTAGACAACGGGCAACGGAGCGAGTCATATTTAAGAAACGTAATAAGGTGTAAGATATGTGCACACAGACGATGCATTGCCAGAGGACAAAGAATTTCCCCATTCTTTTGAAGAAAAAAAAGGGAAAAAAAGAAGCAAAAAAAAAAAAAAAAAAAAATCCGTTTAATCTCCGTCGCGCGCGTTTGGGGTGCGAAACTTCAAATTTAAACTTCGTCGATTCAACCCTCCCCCCACCCCTTCTTTTTTTTCTCTTTCTCTCTCACCCTTTCCACCAAAAACTCCCACTTTTTCGTATACACGCCTCCTCGTAAAATATTTATTGCGGAACATCCCCTGCTTATCGTTCTCGCACCAGACAGAAGCTTCTTCAACAAGAACTGGAAAAATGTGTGTGAACGAAAAGAGTCGCACGCAGATGGAATCAGAACTGTCACCCAATATTTTCTTTCGTCCTTTATTTTTCCTTTTTTTTTTTTTGCTTCTTCTACTTCTTCAGTAGCTATACCTCTAGAATATGGATAAAAGAAATATAAAAGTCGTTTTGAGTATTTCGTTTCTTTTTTTTATTATGATCGAATCTCGTATTTCTTTCTTTTTCTCGCGACAGATGAAAATTTATAGGCAAACTCTCTCGTGGAGGTTTTTTTTTCTTTTTTTTTAGAAAAAATCCTGTAAAACTAATGCATTGTCCATTTGTCTGTATTAGCTTGAAATTCAAAGTTGGTGTCGATTCTGAATGTTCTCTCTCTCTCTCTCTCTTTCTCTCTTTTCAACGCTCGAGAATATTATTGACAAGTAATATATTTTTACGTGACAGAAATAAAGGAGTGTGGAAAGGAGAAAGAGGGAATAGAGAAAAATTAATGGATATGCGCGACAAAAGAGTATTTATTTGCATTAAGAAGTATTTTTGTTGTTAGGTCTGACTAAAACTGGGTTATACTACTTATTTTAGTTATTAGAGTTCTAGTCTGATATTTAATGTTTATTCTTTGACTATTTATTTGTATGAAGAAGTATTTTAGGGTCATGTCTGACTAAAATCAGGTTTTACTACTTATTTCAAAATTAATTGAATTCTAATCTGTAATTTGATGATAAGTCTGACTAAAAATGATTTAACTACTTATTTTCATTGGATTTTTGATTGTTTATACTCGAAGACAAAAATTGTTTAACTAAAACCAGACTTTACTGCTTGTTTTAAATTTATTAGAATTCTGGTCTGGAATTTGATGAGTCTGACTAAAACGAGGTTATACTACTTATTTTACACTTATTCGAATTCTAGTCTGATATTTAATGCATATTCTTATTTATTTGTAACAAGGAGTATTTTAGGGTCATGTCTGACTAAAAGCAGGTTTTACTACTTATTTCAAAATTCATAGAATTCTATGAAAAAAAAATTAAAATGAAATTCTAATTTGATGATTAGTCCGACTAAAAACGATTTAATTACTTATTTTCGTTGGATTTTCGATTGTTTATACTCAAAGACAAAAATTGTTTAACTAAAATCAGATTTTACTGCTTATTTCAAAATTTATTAGAATTCTGGTCTGTTATTTGATGCTGTCCAGCTGAAAAAGTTCTATAGAATTTCACTAAAATCATTCTATAGGAATTCTAATGACTATTCGATAGAATTTCCCTAAAACGATTCTATAGAATTTCTACATGAATTCTACTAAACTTTTGTTATTTTTAATTAGAAAGAACATAAATTTTGTGAAATAATTTTTTTAACATTATATTATTGTATGTGGTTATTCTACGCAAACATTTAATTATTTTTATAAAATAATAATAAAAATTTCACAGTAATTTAATTATTTACAATTTTTTTTTATAAATTTCTTCGCAATATAATTCAATTATTTTTCTAAATAATAAAATTTTTACGGTGATTTAATTATTTTTCTATATAATAAAGTTCTTTTTAGGAATACAATTATTTTCATAAATATAGTAAAACTCATTGCAGAATTTCAATTATTTTTAATATACAATTTTGATCAAATTTCATGAAAAATGTAATTATTCTTTAAAAAATTTATTAAAATTCGTCAAAAAAGAATTCAATTAATTAAATATTTGTTGATAAAATTCTTTATGAAAATTTAATTTACAAAAAAAATTCAATAAATTATTTATTTTTGTATTTAAATAATTGACTTTTAGTAGAATTTTCTAATAAAAATTGATTTAAAAATGAATTGTAATTAAAAACAAATAAATTTGAAAATTATCCAAAATCTGTTTAAAAAATTATTATAAATACTAATAGATTTATAAAAAAATTTTAGTTAAAACTAAAAAAATTTAATTTTGAAGAAGTTACAAATTATTGCAGAAATTCAATTATTTTCAAAAGTAATAAAATTCTTAGCAGAAATTCAATTCTGTTCAACAATTTTTAAAATTCTTTTTAGGAATTCAATTATTTTCATAAATAATAAAACTCGATGCAGAATTTCAATTATTTTTAATACATATTTAATCTAATTTCTCGGCAAATGTAATTATTCTTAAAAATTTTATTAAAAATCGTCGAAAGAATTCAATTATTTAAAAATATGTTGATAAAATTCTTTATTAGAATTAGAATTGAATTTTAAGAAACATTCAATTGTTCAACAAATTATTTATTTGCATTTTATTTGTATTTAAATAATTGAATTCTAGTAGAATTTTAGATAATAATTGAATACTAAAAGTAATATAGCGTTAATTTTTAGAAATATAATTGAATTTTGAAATTAATTTTTTTGAAAAAGTGTAATTGAATTTTTTTTTATTATTTGAAGTTTCTATTTTCTAATATATATTTAATTGAAGAATTTACGAATAATTGAAATTTGTAAAATTGATTATTGTAAATAAATGAATTTTGAAAATTGTCGATGAACTTTTTTTGGAAATTATTTGATTTAAAGAAAAATTTAAGTGAAAAATTCTTACAAATAATAATTGAATTGAAATGATGAAAATAATTTTGATCCAAAAACAAAAATTGTTTGATTGAAACCAGGTTTTACTACTTATTTCTTATTATTATTAAAATTCTGGTCTGTAACTTGAGATTAGTCTGACTAAAAACGATTTTACTACTTATTTTCTTTGGAATTTTTTATTGTTAAGGACTAAAAGACAAAAATTGTCGGAACAAAACCGATTGTTACTACTTTTAGAAAATTGTAACAATTTTATCCTTTTAGAGTAATTGAAAATATAATATTAATATTACGTCTGACTAGGTTCGCCTTGTTCCACTTATTTTTAGTGTAATACAATTGTATTCTACTGACAAGTTTTTTTTTATTTTGTCTGACTAGTTACATTTTTTACTACTGTTTCATTAAAATCTACTTCTTAAACTATAAAAATAATTAGAACAATTTTTCTTCTTATTTATAATTCTACGTCTGACAAAAATAATCTTTACTACTTATGTTAAATATATCTTAAATTACTTTTCCTTTTTTATTGTTCTGTCTGATGAAAATAAACTCTTTCTGCTTGGAAAATAATTATAAAAACTGTTCTTCAATTTTAATGTTGTCTGACTAAAACAAAACTTTACTACTTATTTTTAAATTATTAGAATTCTTTTCTATTTTTATTGTTCTGTTTGACTAAAAACAATTTTTACTACTTATTCGATAAAATTATATAGCATATTACATAATTATTTATATAGAATTTTTTACATAGAATTATAGAATTTCAAGACAAATTACTAAGTAAAATTAAGTATGAATGATTGACCTTATGAATTTTTCGGTTCAAGAGGAAAAATTATCTCAAAAAAACCAATAAAATTCAAAACAAGAAAAAATTAAATCACTAAAATTGCTCCAGTATCTATCAGAATACAGAAAAATACGTCTATATTTCACTCAACTCTCATAAATATATATAAAAAGATACGTTGATAAAATAATATTACTCCTTATAAATGAAATTTATCACCAGACATATTTTATCTTTTTTAAAAAGAAAAAGGAAAAAAAGGAAGAAATTTGATAATAAAATCTTTCTTATCGTTTATATTGGGGGATTTTTCCTTTTTCTCTTAATATATTAGAAAATAGAAAATAAAATAAAATTCTAACCAGTGTGTATGTGTGTTGGATTGAGATGGGAGAGAGTTCGAGTGGGTCAAGAGTTTTGAAATCCACCCTTGAAACCCTACAGATTGCACGTCATGTCGCGGGGAGATGCCAAAGGCGGTCAAAGAGGAAGTGCGAAGTGGAAGAATTAAATCGTATTTCAACGTCAATGCAGCTTCGCTGACTGGAGCTTTGGGAATACCCCAGTCACGAGCGGAAATCCGAACTCTTGCTACATAGCCATGGAACGCAATTTAACTTTCAGTCGTGTTCGCGAAGAACCACATTCCTCTACCCCTCTCTCTCTCACTCTTTCTCTCTCTCTCTCTATCATTTCTCCCTCGTTTCTCGTCTACAATTTCTTTTCTCTGATTATCTTTATTTTCACGCCAATGCGCAAAAAATTATGTATTCCTTTCTTTTTATTTATATTTATTTGTACATAATTGCAATTTATTACAATAATTGTAAATATTATCATTTTTATCCAGTGGAAAAAGATTTATTTTTACGTCAATGCGCAAAAATTTATACATTTATTATTTCAACAAATAATAAAAATTCTTCACAGAAATTCAATTATTTACAAATTTTTTATAAATTTCTTCGCAATATAATTCAATTATTTTTATAAATAATAAAAATTTTTATCAGGAATTCAATTATTATTTTTGTACATAATAAAACTTTTTCACAGGAATTCAATTATTTACGAAGTAATTTTAAAAAGAAAAAATTCTAAAAATTTCAATTATTTGATTCAAGAAATTTTAGAAAGAAAACAGAAACCAATTACTTTTTGAAATATCAATAAAGGTTCCAAAGAAATTCAATTACTTTCCAAAATTGTAATTACATTCTTCCAAAAATATCAATTATTTTCATAAATAATACATTAGAATTGAATTATTTTGAAAGATTTTAATAAAATCCTTTGAAAGAATTCAATTATTATTTTAATACATAATAATAAACTTTAGCAGAAATTCAATTATTCAGAAAGCAATTTTTGAAAGAAGAAAGAAATGAATTATTTTTAAAAAATTGTAATAAAGATTCCAAAAAAATTCAATTATTTTCGAAAATTGTAATTATATTTTTCTAAAAACTTCAATTAGTTTCCGAAATAATACAATTTTTCTTTATAATTCAATTACTTTGAAAGATTTTTATGAAATTCTTTAAAGGAATTCAATTATTTTCGATGCAATTGCAATTTTGGATAGAAAAAAATAAATCAATTATTTTTAGAAATTTTAATAAAGTTTCTCAAAATAATTCAATTATTTTCCGATATTGTAATCATATTTTCTGAAAAGTTTAATTACTTAAAAAAAATATTCTTCGCACGAATTAAATTATTTTTTATTCAATTTCAGAAAGAAAAATAAAAATCAATTATTTTAGGAGATTTTTAAAATTTTCCAAAGGAATATAATTATATTTTCCAAAATAGTAATAAAATTGTTCTCAAGAATTCAATTAACTTCATAAATAATTAGTTTCTTCTTAATAGTTCAATTATATTTAAAAATTTTGATAAAATTTTTCAAAACACTTTAATTATTTTCAAAATTTTTTGATAAAATTCCATTAAATGAACTCAATTAATTTCAAAAATTTTAATAAAATTATTTTCCAAAGTTCAATTGCTTTTTTAAATAATGGAAATTTTTCGTAGGAATTCTATTATTTTTAACGACTTTAGTAAAATTCTTCAAAAGAATTCAATTATTTTCAAGAATTGAAATACAATTTCATTCGAAATAATTTAATTATTTTTTAAAATTTTAATAAAATTATGTGCAAAAATTTAATAACTTCTATAAATAATAAAAAGCCTTCTCAGGAATTCAAATAATTTCTTGAACTATTCTTCTTCTTACGAATTCAATTATATTTAAAAATTTAAATAAAATTTTTCAAAACAATTTAACTATTTTCAAAATTTTTTCTAAAATTCTGTACAAAAAATTCAATTTTTTTTATTAAAATTGCAATTAAATTAGTCTAAAGAACAAAATGACCAATTTAAAGAAAAATTCGAATAAAATTTCTCGAATGAAATAGATTTTAAAATAGATTCAATTATTTTTCAATATTTTTAACAAAATTATTTGTATAAGAATTCGATTAATTTTATAAATAATTTCCATTTTTGAAATTCAATTATTTTTAAGGATTTTAATAAAAATCTTCGAAAGAATTTCATTTTTTTTCATAAATTTTAATTAAATACATTATTAGCATTTAATTCTTTTTAGTAAAATTTTAATTACTCAACTGGAAAGAATGTAATTATTTCAAGCAATTTAAATTACATTTCTTCGAAACAATTAAGTTTATTTCAAAAAATTTTAATAGAAAACAAAATTCTTTGCAAGCATTCAATTACTTTCTCATAAATAATAAAAATTCCTCACAGGAATTCGATTTTTCTTTATTTAATTTTAAAAAGGAAAGAAGAAAATCAGTTATTATCTTATTAATTTATTATTTTTAAAAATTTCAACAAAATTTATGAAAGTTTAATTATTTTTCAAAACTGGAATAAAATTCTTCTCAAGAATTCAATTTTTTTAGTATTACACAAAATTATGGTTAATTAAATATTTTTCTAAATTTTTCTGGTAAATATAGCATCACAATTCTTATTTTCTAAATTTGAACTTCTCTAAAATTATTAATTATTTATTATTAAAAATTTTTGTTTAAAAAAATAAAAAAAAATTTTGTAATTTATTTTATTAAATTAATTTTATTTAAATACTGCGGAGTTAATAGTTTTCGTTAAATAAACGAATAAGAATATTTAGATTATTTCTTTAAAATAATTATATTTTAATTATAATACAAAATTATATAAAACCGTTACTTACAAAATAAACTCGACAGAAAATACATGTTTTTTTCAACTCACCTGAAACAAAAAGAAAATACTTTGTATTTATTTTGGGTATATCTAATAATTGCATTGTCTACAGACTATATTAATAAATATACAAATGATAAATATAGTTTCAAATATGAAAATTAACAATAATAATAATGAGTTAAGTGATAAATTTCGTACATATATGTGTGCGATATTGTCCGGCGTGAATTTTGGGGAAATGTAGAAAGCATATTTTCGGTGAGTGAGTATACGGAAATTTGCATTCCTGGATAATAAATTCGTCAGGAAGGAGTCACACGAAACTAGTGAAATAACCCGCGCAAACTGCACTTGGAACGTCGAATCGTCCCAATGCAGACGTTACGAGCAACCATTGCCGGAAGAGGAGGACCGATTATATTTTGACTCTACGAAGAGGATTTGACTTGTCACCTGGGGAGCCATTTCACTGCGTGATTGCATATAAAGCATTCTCAACGAAATTCAGGACACTCCATATATCCAAACAAAAGGAAAATTTTCTACTCATCTGACAAAATTTGAATAAATTCCATTTTATTTTAAACGTTATAACTTCTCATGTTCGTTTATTCCTAATGGAATTGTACCTTTTTTCCTTTTCTTGTACATAAACATGTTTTTAGTTCAAAAATCGAATTAATTTAAATTTTAAATTCATTTTAATTTTAATTGAATTTCAATCTAATATTTAAGTTCAATTGAATTTCAATTAAATTTTAAATTAATATTTAATTTCGTTTGAATTTCAATTAAATTTCCATTTATATTTAATTTGATTTCACTTGAATTTCATTGGAATTTTAATTAAATTTTAATTTAATGTTTAATTTCATTTGAATCTAAATTGAATTTCTATTTATATTCAATTTGATTTTAATTGAATTTTAATTGAATTTCATTTTAATTTAATATTTAATTAATTTCAGTTTAATTTCAATATAATTTCAATTGAAATTCACCTATTGATAAAATGGTTAAAAAAATATTAAGTTAAAATTTTTAATTATTATAAAATTTTAATTTTTCAAAAATATTTTTCAAAATGTAAATTTTAATTTTTTGTGTAAATTTTTTTTTGGTGAATTAAATTTTTATTGAAAAAAAAATTTTCTTTTTTTGTTTTCAGTGTCGACGCACGTGGTAGACGTCCAATTTCGAATGCACGATTGTGGTCATCGCCATTGGCTTTAGGTCCAAAGGCTTACTTCATCTCGACGGCAAAATCGGCTCATCTGAGTATCGATCGTTTAGAATTGAAGGACGAGGGTGTATATCGTTGTCGAGTTGACTTCGAGAATTCACCGACGAGAAATCAAAATATAAATCTTACAGTAATTGGTAAGCATTGTCCGACATTTCATTGACCTATACTACTGCAAAAGTGACAAATTTTTGGGTTTTTTTTACCTCAAATTTGAATTTTTATTTAAAAATTTTTAAAAAATTGATTTTGTCCGACTTTATTATTGACTTATACTACTGCGAGTGACAAATTTTGGTTTTTTTCACCTCAAATTTGAATTTTTATTTAAAAATGATAAAGAAATTGATTTTGTCCGACTATTCATTGAGCTTTACTACTGCGAGTGACAAAATTTATATAACAATTTTGTTTTCCTATAAATAAATAATTTGATAATTAATTTAGAAAATTAGTTTCATAATTATTAGCCAATACGCATTTGTCAAATTAAAAAAAAAAACTTCTGATAAAAAGTATAATTTTTTTTTCATTCTATTTTTAAATTTATTTGCAAATTTACTTTTTCTTTATGGCAATATTCTACTGTGCGACAATTGTTGATTTTTACCACTGCGAGAATTAATTTGTCGCAAACTTGAACATTGACTTTCACTACTGAGATCCAATCTTGTCGGCTTACTGCTGACTTTTACTACTGAAAACCAATTTTGCCTGACCATTATTAACTTTTACTACTGAGAACAATTTAATCTTATTTACGACTTAAGGTAGTTCTAAAACTTTGTATTCGAATTCAAAACGTAATTCTAACTTGCAGAAGAGCAATTCTCGGTATCGTTTTATTGTTGATAATAGATTTGTAGATATAGAATTTTCGTAGTTTATTTTTAAGCAGTTCAGAAGTTTGTTTTTTAAAACTAAATTAATGAAAATAAATTATTTATCAAATAAACAAATTGAAATAAATAACTAATTATAATAATAACGGTCCATTTCTACGAAAAGAGTAATTAAAATAAATTTTCTTAGTTTGTCTGACAAAAAACATTTTTTTCTACTGAAACTCAAATTTTTATTGTTCCGTCTGACTGAAAATGAACACATTTCACTGAATTTTTAATTAAGGTAATTTTTCTTCTTTTCTGTCTGACTAAAACCATTTTTGTTACTAATACTAGACCTTTTTTAAATTATAAATGTTTCGTCTGACTAAAATCGACTTTTACTACTTAAATCATACTCACAAGAACCTTTTTCAAATTATAAACGATTCGTCTAACTAAAATCGACCTCTACTACTTAAATTAAATCACAAGAAGCGTTTTTTCAATTGTGGGGCTCAAAGAAAAAGTGGTATAAAATAACAGTGCGAGCAAAAGTGAGTTAACTTTTCTGACGGGTAAGAATGGGCCAGATGAATGCTGCGAGGAAAAACAGAATTTCTTTCGAGCGCGAGCAAAAGCGGGCTAAATGGCTATCCCATTTTTGCTCTTAGTCAAAAGTTGATCCGCTTTTGCTCGCACCGTGAAGTCTATAGTAATGTCGAGATACGAGCCGTCGCTACATTTTGACAATTTGACGTTTGATTCCATTTCGTTTATTTTACTTTTATTTAATTGTTTCAATGTGTGAATAATAAAATATGAATAAATAATAAAAATAATAATAATAATGTGTGAATATTGATAGAATATTCCTTTAAAGTGAACAGAATATTTCTTCCAAAACTTATTTTTAATATTTTGTTGTTTTTGAAAAATTTGTTAGTTACATTAAAAATATGATCATGTTATTTATTTATTTATATGTAGATAAATAATTTCCTAATATTTTTCAAGTTTTTAACATGCTAATTTTTACTGGAAAACTTTTTCATTTTTCTCGAATATTTTTCTCGAAAAATTATTTTCAAAAGGTTGTTAAATAACAAATTTTAATAATTGAAATTAACAAAAAATTTCAAGTCAAAATTCCTAAACATTATAACTCTATTTCTTCCAAAGTTCAATTATTAAAATTTTTTTAATAAAAGTTTAGTTTCATAAGTCAATTTCAATTATTGTAATAAAATTTTTTAGAAATTCAATTATGTTTAAAAAATCTCGCATTAAAAATTCCTTAAAATGTAATTACTGACCTAAATTTGTGAAAAAAAGTAAGTATTTCAAATATACAAAAATTTGTATTTCAAATTTCCTACATTTATATTATTTACAAACTTTTTAACAAAAATTATATTTCAAATTAATTATTTTCAAAAAATTATAGTATGAAATTTAAGGCAAATTTTTAGCAATTAAAATTTACAAATATTCGTAGTTTAATTTTTCTAAAATTCAATTTTTATTAAATATACATTAGAATTTAGATTGAAATTTTAAATAATTAAATTTTAATGTGCCTGAAATTGCCATCGATGCTCAGCATCGAAATTTTTTTTTCATCAGACCATCAATTTTTTCGCATTTTCGTACTCAAGTAGGTACCCAATAAATACCTAATAAGTTTCGTCCTATTATCGATAGGGGAAAGTTGTCAAATCAACCCCTAAATTTAAAAAAATAAAAAAAAATAGGAAAAAATTGTTATTTAAAAACTAATAACGAGACCATAAATTTTATTGCATAAAATGCATTCACTCGATGCCCAATGAATACAAAAAAATTTTGACCCGCAAGTCGATAGGGAAAAGTTGTCATTTTCAACCCTTAATATTTAAAAAATCGAAATCCTTTGACCAGCAATTTTCTTTTTGTTTATTGTTTCTACATACTCCACTAATAATGAAAAATAATTTCAGAAAAATCGCCGCCCGGAAAACTTGATTTTTCTGCCCGTAAAAATTAAAAAATTGAAAAAAAATTAGAAAAAAATTTGTGAAAATTACAATTATCTTTTGACCAGGGATTTTCTTTTTGTTTATTGCTTCTACATACTCCACTAATAAGTAAAAATAATTTCAGAAAAATTGCCGCCCGGAAAACTTGATTTTTCTGCCCGTAAAAATTAAAAAATTGAAAAAAAAATAGAAAAAAATTTGTGAAAATTACAATTATCTGTTGACCAGGGATTTTCTTTTTGTTTATTGCTTCTACATACTCCACTAATAAGTAAAAATAATTTCAGAAAAATTGCCGCCCGGAAAACTTGATTTTTCTGCCCGTAAAAATTAAAAAATTGAAAAAAAAATTAGAAAAAAATTTGTGAAAATTACAATTATCTGTTGACCAGGGATTTTCTTTTTGTTTATTGCTTCTACATACTCTACTAATAAGTAAAAATAATTTCAGAAAAATTGCCGCCCGGAAAACTTGATTTTTCTGCCCGTAAAAATTAAAAAATTGAAAAAAAATTAGAAAAAAATTTGTGAAAATTACAATTATCTTTTGACCAGGGATTTTCTTTTTGTTTATTGCTTCTACATACTCCACTAATAAGTAAAAATAATTTCAGAAAAATCTATTTTTCAATTATTATTGTTTACAACAATTTAAAAAAATTATTATATGTTTTATTAATTGCCTAGTGGTCTTCTTGGATTATCTTGAACTGATTTAAATCATGTGCAGTAACGGAATAAGAAATAAAAGTCCATTTTAAAAAATTGTATTAATTTGTTAACTTTGATTAAACTAAAAAATTATAAACAATTAAAATCTCAAAAATCAGTCTCAAGGGATGTCATAAGAATTTATTCCCCTTTAATTTAAATACAAGAACACTCAAATCGTTTAAAAATTGTAGGCTGAAGACATTTTTGAAAAGTAAATTGTAAAAAATCCCACTGTGTGTAGGACCAAAATGTCATTTGGTAGTCCCTATTCGATTTTCGTTCGTTGTGCTAAACGTGGAAAGCAACGTAGCGAGTCTTTAAATCTCAAGGTAAGCCGAAAATTGCCGAACGCACCCGAGCTAGGACCCAACAGGCAAACACTCAAGTTCGCGGAGAGAACAGGCGACGTTGAGAGTTTGTGTTGGAGAATTACTTCGGGTGTATTCGGGTAATCACGTCTTCCCGTAGGATTTAAAGTATCGCTGCATTGGCCGAGCACTGAACGAATGCCAAAAGAAGACACGATAAATAAAAATCTCCCCTTGAATTGCACAATTCGGACAAATGGCAACTGTGATTTTAACAATTTTTTTTCTTATTTTTTTGAGTTTTACTAATATTTACGGGCAAAAAGTAAAACTTTCCGGAAGGCAATTTTTTTAAAATTATGTACACATATTAGAGGAATATGTAGAAGTAATAACAAAGAAGAAAAAATCCCTGGTCAAAAAACAACTGTAATTTTTACATTTTTTTTTTAATTTTTTAATTTTTTCATTTTTACGGGCAAAAAATCAAAGTTTCCGGTCGACGAATTTTTTGAAATTTTGTTGATACATTAGGGAAATATGTAGAAGTAAGAAACAAGAAGAAAATCTCTCGTCAAAAGAAATTTGTAATTTTCACCATTTTTTTACCTATTTTTTCTTAATTTTTTTGTTTTTACGGGCAAAAAAGTCAAAGTTTCCGGGCGACAATTTTTTTGAAACTGTGTAGATACATTAGGGGAATGTGTAGAAGTAAGAAGAGGAAGAAAATCTCTGGTCAAAAGACATCTGTAATTTTTACAATTTTTTTCTTATTTTTTTTTGTTTTTATGGTCAAAAAAATCAAGTATTCCGGTCGGCGATTTTTCTGAAATTATTTTTATTTATCATTGGAGTATGTAGAAGCAATAAACAAAAAGAAAATCCCTGGTCAAAAGATAATTGTAATTTTCACAAATTTTTTTCTAATTTTTTTCAATTTTTTAATTTTTACGGACAGAAAAATCAAGTCTTCCGGGCGGCAATTTCTCTGAAATTGTTTTTACTTATTAGTGGAGTATGTAGAAGCAATAAACAAAAAAAATCCCTGGTCGAAAGATAACTGTAATTTTAACAAATTTTTTAGTAATTTTTTCTTCAATTTTTCGGGCAGAAAAATCAAGTTTTCCGGGCGGCGATTTTTCTGAAATTATTTTTGCTTATTAGTGGAGTATGTAGAAGCAATAAACAAAAAGAAAATCCCTGGTCAAAAGATAATTGTAATTTTAACAAATTTTTTTCTAATTTTTTCTTCAATTTTTCGGGCAGAAAAATCAAGTTTTCCGGGCGGCGATTTTTCTGAAATTATTTTTGCTTATTAGTGGAGTATGTAGAAGCAATAAACAAAAAGAAAATCCCTGGTCAAAAGATAATTGTAATTTTAACAAATTTTTTTCTAATTTTTTTTTAAATTTTTTAATTTTTACGGGCAGAAAAATCAAGTTTTCCGGGCGGCGATTTTTCTGAAATTATTTTTACTTATTAGTGGAGTATGTAGAAGCAATAAACAAAAAGAAAATCCCTGGTCAAAAGATAATTGTAATTTCCACAAATTTTTTTGTAATTTTTTTTCAATTTTTTAATTTTTACGCGCAGAAAAATCAAGTTTTCCGGGCGGCGATTTTTCTGAAATTATTTTTACTTATTAGTGGAGTATGTAGAAGCAATAAACAAAAAGAAAATCCCTGGTCAAAGGATAATTGTAATTTTCACAAATTTTTTTCTAACTTTTTTTTCAATTTTTTAATTTTTACGGGCAAAAAAGTCAAGTTTTCCGGGCGGCGATTTTTCTGAAATTATTTTTACTTATTAGTGGAGTATGTAGAAACAATAAACAAAAAGAAAATCGCTGGTCAAAGGATAACTGCAATTTTAATAAAGTTTTTTGTAATTTTTTTTCGATTTTTTAAATATTAAGGGTTGAAAATGACAACTTTCCCCTATCGACTTGCGGGTCAAAATTTTTTTGTATTGATTGGGCATCGAGTGAATGAATTTTATGCAATAAAATTTATGGTCTCGTTATTAGTTTTTAAATAACAATTTTTTCCTATTTTTTTTTATTTTTTTAAATTTAGGGGTTGATTTAACAACTTTCCCCTATCGATAATAGGACGAAACTTATTAGGTATTTATTGGGTACCTACTTGAGTAGGAAAATGCAAAAAAATTGATGGTCTGCTGAAAAAAAATTTTCGATTCTTGTCTGATTGTAAAGTAATTGAATTTAAATTTAAATACCTAAAACTTGAAATAATTATATTATTCTTAAATTAAAATTTTAAAAAATTGAATTTGTTAATTAATTTTGAAATAATATCATTATAAGTATTAAAGTGGTAATAATATAAAATATATGGGAAGAGTGAAACAGGCAAAAATGAATCTTAAAATGAGTGCGGGCAAAAACGGAATATATCTGTATCCCTTTCTTGCGCGCAGTGAAATCTTATCCCGCTTTTGCTCGCAGCCAAAAGTAATTCGTTTTTCCTCGTAGCGTAACATTTGTTTCTTTCTTCCGCGCTTACGAAAACTTGACTCACTTTTGCTTGCACTGTTATTTTATACCACTTTTACTTTGAGCCCCTCAATTATAAACGATTCGTCTGACTAAAATCGACCTCTACTACTTACATCATACTCACAAGAACCTTCTTTAAATTGAAAACGACTCGTCTGACTAAAATCGACCTCTACTACTTAAATCAAATCACAAGAAGCGTTTTTTCAATTATAAACGATTCGTCTGACTAAAATCGACCTCTACTACTTAAATCATACTCACAACAACCTTTTTCTAAATTATAAACGTATCGTCTGACTAAAATCGACCTCTACTACTAAAAATCAACTTTCTTGTTCTAATAATTATAAGAACCAAAAACATTTCGTCGGACAGAAATAATTCGTCTGACTAAACCCGAATTTTACTACTAATATTTAAACAACAAATTTTTTCATTCCCTGTGAATTACAGTGTCTCCCGAAAGACCAACTATTCGTAATGGTTCGACGAAGGAAATAATCACGAGAATTGAGGAGCCATATAACGAGGGCAGTAGCGTGAATTTGATCTGTGAAGTTCATGGTGGAAAACCGCCCCCGAAGGTTACGTGGTTTCTAGAGAATACGGTGATAGACGAGTCCTATCAGTACAGAGACGACGCGAATGTGACGTCTAACCACTTGTCCTATTCAGGAGTTGGACGACAGCATTTGCAAGCGAGGCTCATCTGTCAAGCCAGCAATACCAATTTAGTGCCAGCGCAATCTCGTGTTTTGGTACTCGACTTAAATCGTAAGTGATCAAACAATTTCACATCATTTAGTCTTTACTATTTGGAATAATTCCCATTTTTATTGTTAGAAACTGTTAATTTTAATAGTTTAATAAATAATTAATAAAATTTGATAGTTAAATTTTAATAGTTTTTAATAAATTTAATAGTAAATATTGAAACTCTTATATAAATAAAAAACTACAAAAAATTAATCCAATTATTCCAATAAAGTTAGTAATATTAATAATATAAATAATATAAATTTAAATATTAAATTGTAATTAAATTAAATAATTATGGTCTAACTAATTTAATATTAAATATTTCAATAATATTTCGTATTTTTTATAATTAATATTTATATATTTTTTTATTAAAATTAAAAAAAAAAATTTTATTAGTTTCTTTTAAAAAGCTCCCTCTGATTTATATTATTTTTTTACTTTCCTAATGTTGCTAATACTACTAAAATTTATTTCATAGCAGATAAAAAAAAATACTTCCTTCTTATTTAATGTTGATATCGAAAGAATATCAAAAACAGTACAATAATAATTTTTCTCAATATCTTGTTTATAGTCGATTTAGAAAGTTTACGATATGTTGTAGAGTTTTGTAATCGCTGTTGGACATTTTTAATAAAAAGATCAATATAAAAGTTTCACATTGTAGTATCTTGAAACGACTTATAAATATGTTGTTGACGTTTATTGAAAATTGTCCAACAATATTGGATTTTTCATCAGTAGTTATTTATAATAAATCATTCCCCCTCCTGCTTTTTCTCTTTTCAATTTTATTTTATTTTCTTTTTACTTTCTTATCATCTTTAATTTCACTTTGAAACATTAAGTTCGTTTTTTTTGGACAATTTCCTCTATTACGATATAGAGTTTATTAATAAAACCTAAGTTTCATTTTGTGATAAAGAAACTTTTTTTATGTTCTATTAAAAAAGAAAGTTTTTTATTTTGAAACTCTGATAAGAGGAGTAATTATTCTGTTCAATAATTTGCGCGAGAAATTGTTGTCTTGAATTTTTTTTTTCGTAATTTCACTGTTTTGATATAAAAAAAGTGGAAATACTGTGGAAACATAATTTTTATTTAGTGGAAAAGAATAATTTTAGCATAAGGCAAAAAATAATTTTCTAAGAAAAAAAAATAAAAATCTTTTATTTACAGTAATTTTTGTTATATTCTGTCTGACCGAAAATTATTTTACCACTTAAACCATAATAAAAGAATTTCTTTTTTTTTAATTATATGTCTGACCAAAGCTCGACTTTACTACTTATTCTGAAATTAGAATTATTGTCTTCTACAGGAAAAAAATAATTTTATTATTCGGTCTAACAAAAACCAACCCTTTCTACTGAATCTTTAATTACAGAAATTATTATTATCCTCTGTCTGACAGAAACATTTTTTTCTACTTATACCGTACAGAAAAAGATTTCTTCTTATTTTTAATTATATGTCTGACTAAAGCTCAATTGTATTACTTATTTCAAAAATAGAATTATTCTCCACTACAGAGGGAATAATAATTTTATAACTGCAGACAAAAATAATATTGTTACAGTAGAAAAAAAATTTTGCTGTATAAAAGATACAAATAATTTCTTTATATATTAATTAATAGAAAATTTATTAATAGAATGATATTATAATTGTTAATAGAAAATATACTTTGTTAAAATTGAAGAGAGAGAATTTTCTAAATCTTGAAAAAACCTGGAAAAGTCAGGCAATTTTGATCAGAATCCTGGAAAATTATTGTTTTCTAAAGTTATTGTCCTTATTTTTGAAATATAATTTTACCTACATATTTCAAAAATAATTGAATTTTAACAGAGTTGCGTTTACAATTTTCATAAATAGATAAACTTCAAAAAGGTTTTAATTTGAAGTTTTAAAAAAATTTCAATTTTAAATGAATGACTTAAATATTAAAAATTTAACAGGAATTCTATAATTTACAAATTTTTTATAAATTTCTTCGCAATAATTCAAATATTTTCATGAAAAATAACATTTTGTACCAGGAATTCAATTATTTTTAATAAATAATAAAATTCTTGTCAAAATTTCAATTATTTTAAAAAACTTTTCTCAATTAAATCAAATTTTTTTTACAGAGATTCAATTATTTTTAATACAATTTCAATCTTATTTCTCCAAAAATAAAATTAATGGTTTTATCAGTCGGTCCTCGACTCGGAGCAATCGATATCTTCATGTTTTATAACAATTTTTTTTAAATTGTTTAATTTCAAAAAGGTTGGAATTTGAAATTTTTGAAAATCTTAATTTTTATGGAAAAATAATAATGATTAAATATTATTATAAATATATTTATAATATTATTATAAATATACTACCCTGGTAGTGTTATCGCATGAGAAAAAAAAATTGAAAGTCATCGATGATTAATAGAATAATTATAAAAAATGAAAAAAAAAATTACGACGACAGTTAGAAAATAAATTTATTTCAAGAAAAAAAAACGAGAGGATAATTTTTTATTTCCTGAGAATTAAAAACTATTTTACAAAAGTGGGGAAAAAAGGGGGTGAAAAAAACTGCATCAATTTGGCAGTTGATGCGATTTCTAGCGGATGTTTCGAACGCCTTTTCTCGTGGTCCTGACACATAGGACACGCTGTTCTCGTGCTGAACCTGTTAGTTCCTGTTGAAGATCGGATGTCGGAGATAACGGTAACGCCTCTCGTAAGACGGATCAGTGAATCGCGTGCTTTCACATCTCTCTCTTTCTCTCTCTCTCTTACTTCATTTCTCTCACTCATTTTGATATCGTGCTCCTTCTCCCTCTCTCTTTCTCTCTTACTCTATTTCTCTCTCTTTCTAGTTTTCTCTTACTCTATTTCTCTCTCTTTCTAGTTTTCTCTCTCTCGTTTTCTCTCTCTTATTTTCTCCCTCTCTCGTTTTCTCTCTCACTTTATTTCTTACTCTTACTTCATTTCTCTCACTCACTTTGATTTCGTGCTCCAAACTTGAAACTTGCCTTCCGATCAAAAAGCTAATGGACAAAATACTGCAGCGAACATGCCGCGCAGGTACAACAACCAACGACACGACAGCCCAGCGAAACTCACTGTAAACGATAAGATTTTCAAGACAAACACGCGTAAAACCATTAGCACTTACAAGGCGGTTGTTAAACATATACACAAATTCGATCTTATCCCACTTTTCAACTTTTTTTGTTATAAAAATTCTTTGCTTGCAAAAAAAGCAGAAAAAAAGAATAAACTCTATTTTATTCCGTGCGGGACTCGTTTCAATTGCTAACACCAATTCTTGAAAATTTGTTCTAAATTTAAAACAAATTTATAAAATTAATTAATTAATTTAACTATTTTTTTAATCTGCTGGTAAAAAATACGAAGTTATAAATATATATCGAATATTTATTGGTTGAGGTGAATATTCAGATAGCATTCTCGAATGTCTGACTAAAAACAATATTTACTACTTATTGGAAAATTTTTCTTACTTCCCGTCTGACTAAAGTCAAATTTTACTACTTATACCACAGTATAATATTTATAGAAGTGTTACAATTGAGAAAAGATGCTTTTTTATTATTGTGTCTGACTGAAATCGAGCTTTACTACTTAGATCAGAATCGTATGAACCTTTTTTGTAATTAAAATATTTCGCCTGACTAAAAGCAACTTCGACTACTTAAATAGAAATGAAAAGAAGCTTTTTTTTATTATTAGCATTCTTTCTATAACTGAAATAAAACTTTATTTTACTTACGTCTGACTAAAATCAACTTTTACTACTTCAATCAAAATAACATTCTGCAAATGTTATGTTTTTTATTTTTAATCGTAAGTCTGACTGAAACTTTACTGTACTACTTATTGTTTTAATGTTAATATTATTTATATTTAATAAAAATAATATTAATTTAATATTATTTTAACTTGAAATATAAAATTTATCTTCAGCACTTATTTTGCATTTAGAATTCTTGTCTATTTGTTCTGTCTGACCAAAAACAACCGATTCTACTGAATCTTTAATGATAGTAATTATTTTCATCCCCTGTCTGACTAAACAATTTTTTACTACTTAAACTGAAAATAAGTTTTTCGGAAAATAATGAAAATAAATTTTTCTTACTTTTAATTACAAGTCTGACCAAAGATCAACTTTACTACTTTTTTCGAAATTAGAATTATTGTCTGTTATTGTTCGGTCTGACCAAAGTCAACCCTTTCTACTTAATCTTTATTGAGTAAACGATTATTATTAGTATTTTTATTTTCACTACTTTATTCAAAAGGAGAAAAAGTATTTTTATTTATTTCTGGTCTGATTAAAACCAACTTATACTACTTATTTCTAAAAGATCGAAATTCTCCTGTTTTTTATTAATAAAAACCAAATATTCTTGCAAATAGTATTAAACAAAAAAGAATCAAATAGTGAAAATAGTAAAAAGACAAAAGGATAAAAAAACAAAAGGTGAAAAAATAAAATAAAAACAGAATAGACAGAAAAAAAAGAAAATAGAATAGATAAAATAAAATTTAAAGAAAAAAGAGTAGAAACAAAAAAAAATACGAAGAAACGAGGAAAAATGAAGAAAAAGAAAAAAGTATAGAAAAAGAAGAAAAATTAAAGAATTCAAACATTTTTAAATTAAAATATTGTTAAAATACAAAAATTTTAAAATATAAACAATAAAAAGGAAAATAACAAAGAGAGAAAAAAAATAATAAAAGAAATTAAGATTGAGATTAATAGAAAATTTTGAGAGTAGAGGCAAATGGTGTGAAAAGCACTTTATCTAAAGACTTTTGGCATTTACTAATTTATGTATTAAATATAATTAATTTTCCAGTTTTCGTAAGCATTAAGTAATAGTAAATAATTTCACGTTCAACGACAGACTCTAAGTTAACTGATGCAGAAAATTATGGAAACAGTGCTATTTACATTTCCCAAACTGATAAACATTGAGAGTTCGGTTTACATTA